TCTCTCGGCTGGGTGCCTCAAAGGTTTGCGGTTGCACATTTTACGTTGCACATTTGGCGTCGCAAATTTAACGTTGCAGAATTAACGTTTCAGATTTGTCGGCGCTTTCGTGGGGCCATTATGCACGCACCTGTGCACCGTTACGCGGGGGAAGAACGCATCATTGTTATATATATATTACACCCTAGAGGAAGAGATACTCATGTAGGTATCTACTCATGTAGGCACTTGCCCATGTGGGAAAGACGTCCGCACGGGGGACGAAGGGCCCCCCCGTTTGCAGCCTCCACCAGAAGGACCAGCGCGAAAATCATATTTCTCAAACACGCGCGCCTAGGTGTATACATACCTATGTAAATATTCGAAGGTTTGGAAACACGTTCTCATTTCCCCTCTACCCCTTCTTATGGTTTTTACCTGTTTAACCTTTCGCCCTTTGTTTTTTTCTTTATATGAAATTGTAAAATTTTTAAGAACTTGCCAGCCTGTTGCAAAATTTTTTAAAATCATCTGTACCATAGCATACAAGGAAGCAAGGAAGGCATATGTTTTGAGCCATTGTGGTTAAGTCGTGTGGGAGGCGACAATAAGCAATGGGGGTGCAAGAAGTGCTACAGCAACTGTCTATCGCTCAAGTGGGAAGATAACACCATGTCGAGCAGCAATCACAAAAATATAGAATTAAAAAAAAAAAAAAAAAAACATATCGATCGGTTCATTCTCTTTTAGTTAGGAAACGATTTCATTTTAAGTGCCTTTTTTTTCATTTATGCAAAGTCCACCCCGCGAACTTCGCTGACATGGAGGGGTAATCGTTCCATTCACCGCCTGGTTCGTCTTGATCACTTCATAGATAAAGGATGAATCGATGCAGGATTCAATTATGACGAAAAATATGCCGTCCTTTCTATGTTGGTAAGTTTGCTCATTTGTGTTAGAAAAAGGTAGGGGGTATATACACACACTTATTGTACTTTTCCAATGGGTACATGCACGCAAGTGAGGGGTGCTTGTAACAATGTGCTTTGCTGTTAACAAATATTTATTTACGTTTATCAGCACAGAGTTCATTGTTCCTTCTAGAGGAGGCTCCTAACTGGTAGGTTTCAACCCCGTTGAAGGTCTTATCAAACTGTGCGGCTCAGTGTACCCTTGGGCTTGTCCACTCGCTTTACCCCACTGGCATTGCTATTCAGACAAGATCATGGTTTGGCCGGCTTTGCTTTCTTTTTGTTTTGTTCCTTTCCCTATTGACATCTTTGAAGTGCTTTTATGGGTGTCAATGGGCCCCCGGTACCACGTGAAACTACTTTTGTTCAGATTCTCTGTTGGGACACTTCAGTCGCCGCCAAAATTTGCGCATACGTTTAACATCGTTTGGGAGTACCACAGGAGCTGTACATCCCCCTACGATAGTGATCATTTGGGCCTTTTCTATTCTATTTTTTATTTTACTTCTGCGCCGTGTATCCACTGTTATCACTTTTAAGTGTAGAAGTTTCGTTTTTGTTGTTCGCGTGCTAACTTCTTTTTTTTGGTGCACCCCTAAAATGTTTCCTTTTCCTTTTGTCATTTTTTGGTAATTGGCGAAATGACGCAAGAGGAAACGGGCACAACATAGTGCACCTGCGAACACCTGTTCCTGATGCGCGCATAGTTAAGTCTCGTAAGGATTCGCAGCAAATGTATATGTATGTGTGCGAACTGTGTAGAAGCGAACACACATACATATTTGTATGTGCAAGGGCGTTGTTGCGGAGTTTAGTCTACTAACCCATTTGTTAACAATTCTTTGTTCGTAACAGAACGGAGCGAACACGCGATTCACATCTCCTGCTTAGTTCTACTCCTTTCCCCTTTCAACAGGAACCATTTTTATCGACAAATGGTAAAACAGTTGTCACTAGCATTGTGCTTACCTCTATATTTTTTGCGCACATTTGAAGCTATGCGCCTGGAGGAGAATCCATGCATTTAGAGATGTGCATTTACGCATGCATATTCATTTAGGTTAGTTTTTATGTAGATACACAGTTTTTTTTTTGTTCAGGGTAAGTCCCATTGAAACATCCGATGCGACGATTATCTGTCCTGTCGCATTCTACGTTTAAAAGAAAATAAAAAAATAAATGTAAACAGACGGATAAGTTAGCTAATTTCCCCATAGCATCGCTTCGCCTTTTTTGTTTTCGAAAAAATATGGAACAGCGTTTTACAGACATGAAAGACAGTTGGTGTTTATCTTTTTTGTCAATTTTGTGAAGTAAATTTGCGCTGCTGAAGCTCTGTGGATGCATTTTCCATATGCATTTTTCAGTTACAATTTTTTAGTCGCAATTTTGCAGTTGAAAAATATAGAATCGCATTTTTACGAACCCACACTTCTGCTAAGTTGCAATTTTGAAATATTGACATGTCAAATGTGAGGTCACCTGAATCTTTGGCGAACTGTGAGGATAGGAAGCTGTGAAGCCGGGAAGATGCGAACCTGCCAGTCCATCATTTGAACAGATGGACGGCGACAGCTTAAAAACAAAAAGCTAAAAAATTCCGCCGAACGTTTATCCTCTTGTAGTATTTGACAGAAATGAAGAAAACAATAATATGGCAAGAAGAAGGATTTCGGAAATAATATTCCTATGCATATGTGTTCTTCTTGAGTTCTTATTTTTTTTCACATTTCTTTAGATTTGTTTGATTATTGCACGGATGACGAGTTATGAGCTATTTTTCACGTTTCTGCATTTGTGTATCGCTCATTTTGTTAGCACCCTGCTAGCCAGCAGTACCCTTTCTCGCGAGTACAGATTTTTCACTCTGTTATTTTACACTTTAGTCAATGTTTCGCCTTTCGCGTCTTATCTTTCTTGTTTTGTTTTTTCGTTTTTGGCTTTTCGCCTTAGTTTTTTTGCCTCTGTTTTTTGGCCTCTGTTTTTCCTTTTTTTGCTTTTTCGCATTAGTTTTTTCGCCTTTGTTTTTTCTTCTTTACCTTTTCGCATTAGTTTTTTCGCCTTTGATTTTTCACCATTGTTTTCTCTTTTTTGCGTTACCTTACTAGCGCGGTCTTTCCGCGTATCATTTTTTTAGTTCTCAACAATTTCGCACTATTTTTTTTTTCCGCCTGCACTGCTTGGTTGTTTCGCCAAATGCCTAGACCTATGCGTGTATGACCTGTACGTACAAGGGTGGTATATTCCCCTCTCGGTACTGCATTCCGGGTATCACCGCGCACATGCGAGTGCGCATGTGTACATACGGGATGTATGCGTACACATGCAAGTTCGCGTTTATGTGTACATAACAAAGGCTCTCAGGAAGGTGTGTGTTTGAGTGTAGGCGGTTGCTTTCCTAGCAAATGCACTTTCGCCGATTGTCCGCCCATGCTGTGACGAACAATTCGCTTGCGTAAGTATGCTCAAGTACACGAACAAATCAGTGGAGCATGCACGTGAACACATGCACGAGTTATCACACGCGAAGAAAATTAATTTATGCGGATGTATTTGTATACGTGTTAAATCTGGATCCTGAAAAATCACTCCTTTCTCTCCTCAATTTTTAATATAATTTCTAAAAATAATTTCATCATTTTCTGTCTAGAATATTTCATTTCCTAAATAGCTTCTTTAACAGAACGAACGTTAGTTTGGGAAGGGAAGTACGCAAAAAAAAAAAAAAAAGAGAAAAAAAAAACCGGAGCAAAAAAAGGAAAAGGAAAAAAAAGAGTACCCAAGAGTGCAAAAAAAAAAGCAAAGTACAAGAAAAGAACAAGAGAAGCGACCAAACATACGGGGGGGAATATCCCCAAAAATATCTCCAAAAATATCATCAAAAATGTCAACAGAAATATCACTAAAAATATTACCCAGAATATTACCCAAAATATTAGAAAAGTAATAGTAAAACTTTTATCGAAAATGACACCAAAGTGATAGCGAAGCTATACTGCACCGTCAAAAAGGCGTCAGTGAAGCGATAGCCGAACCATAGTCAACCGCTAACCCGCTAACCCGCTAACCTGCGGACCCCAATTAGCGAGCACATATTAGGGATAAGTGAGAAAGTAAGAGCCAAGGCGGCGAACAAACTAGTGATCGAAGCAGGGAGGTACCACCTCTGAGGAACGCCACAGCAGAATATAATTCAGTGCCGGGTCAAGGTGTGAACGGAGGGGAACAGGAGGGGCGCAAAAAAACAAATGTATGCGCTCGGCAGTTAAATTGTCTGTAATTCGAGAATTAACCCCTGTGCACGCCGACCCCTCATCCATACACACACCCAAACGTGTGTGCAAAGTATGATATCAAAAGAGTACCCAGTAGGTGAGGGTATATACACACATGTAATATGTTTGCACGGATGTACGTGAAAAGACGTCTCTCCAGTTACCACTACCCCACATGTATGTCTTTACGTATATGCGCCTAGATACACACATATGTATAAATTTAATATAAACACACGAAGTTTAGGGGCCCCCTAATAAAAACGCCACATACAAACACGCTTGCTAAATATGAAAAACGGGATAATAAATACTCAAAGCAAAAATGACAGTAAGCAGACACCATTAAAGCAGGACACAATAGCACGTTTAAAACTTCCGGACAAGGGGGCATATTTTAATAATTTCATCATACCCAAATTCGACAACCTAAATGACATTAGTTTATATTTGAGAGAATCCAATAATGTAGCGGACAGCGTACAGGACGTGGTGATGGACGATGTGTTTATGGATGATCTTATCGGAGCCTCCGATGGGGAGACGCTTAGGAATGGTAATTTGAGAAGTTCCTATGGGAGGAGTAGCAGTGTCAAGAGCAGTAGGAATGGGGACACAACCCTCTTGAGGAGTGCCAGAAATAAGCGCAACAGTTTGGTCATCGACAGCCTTGTTAGCAGTAACCACGTTAGTAGGAACCACGTTAGTGGAAACCACGTTAGCAGTAATCACTTCAGCAGTAGTCTCATCCGGCGCTACCGCTCCAGTAATAATCGCTCCCCGAGTAACCAATCTATCAGTAACCTCTACCCAGGTGATCGCCTTGTTGGTGACCTCCCCCTTGAGATGCTCACAAGTAATAAGCAAAATGGCAAACTGAGAAGCATCTATAAAAGGAGGAAATCCGAAGGAAAAGATGGAACTCCGCGCAAGCAAAACGGCGAGGCGAAGAAAAATTTGAACACCAGACACCATGAAGGGAGAAGAAAGGGAGAGCGGAAGAGAAGAAGCAAAAGTGATATGAACCAAGGGGATAGGAAAAGAAAAAAGGAGTTGAGTCAAAAGAGGGAATTTAGAAACACCAAAAAAGGGTTAACTATAAGGAATAATCTGATCAATAAGAATGCCTCAAAAGGTAGGAATAAATTGCAAAAGGATTATTCAGCTAGGAAGAAAAGGTACATTAGGACGAGAAAATTATCATACGCGAGCAGCAGCAACGATGGGGAATTTAGCGCTAACAAGTACATGCTTGACAAAATATATCAATCCCTGAAAAGGAAGGTCAATACCATGGAACAACTGAACAACAGTTTTTATATTGAATATGATGAGAGTGCTGATTTAGACACTGGGAGGGAGTCGGGCACGGATTTAGAGGTAGCCGGCGGTGGTGCACTGGATGACTTCCCTCCTGCCTTCTCTGCTAACGTTAACTTCTCTTCTTCGGGCGATGTTGCGCAAGGGACAGTTCTAGGCACCCCCGAGGGAAGCTCCAGTTCCTACGCAAACAATGCACTGGAAGAATACTACCCGCCCGAACCACCCAAAAATCGGCTTCTCAGAAAAAACAATTACCACACACATTGCAACACAAACAAGGCACACAAAACGAGGAATGTAAACCATTTGTACAAATATACAGACAGTAATTATAAGGACCATCAACTGGGTCATATAAAAAATGGAAAAATCTTCTCTTCCCCCAAGAGTGGCAGTGACAATGTAGAATATGACTGCATAGGTTTTGTTTGTGATGAAGAGTACATGTGTAAAAATCTCCACTTTGATGTAAATCACCTTGAAAGTCCTGACAGAATAAAATGCATTATTAAAGCCTTGAAAAAAAAGAACGTAATAAATAAAATGCTTCAAATAAAATGCAGGGAAGCTTTATATGAAGAAATTAAAGAATGCCACACGAGTACTCATATCAATAATATCTTTTACTCTCTAAAGAGGAAGTTAAAATACAAGAAGAAGGACGTTATATATCCCTTTGACAAGCACGACACATACTATACTTCCTACACGGGGACAGTTTCGAAGAGGGCCGTTGGGGGACTGCTAAATCTTTGTGATGCCATTTTGTCGAATAAGAATGAAAAGTTTAAGTACATCGATTTTAAGAAATCTTTTCAGTACAATTATAACTTTTTCAAGAACATTCGACCCAACGGCGTCAGAAGCTTTCTGGGGAACAGAATTAAGCACGACACTCATTTGAAACGCTCCAAATCGGAGAATAACCTATACGTGATGAATCGGTTTGAGGGGAGCGGAATCGGCCGTAGCAACAATAGCGGAGGTAGAAGCGGGGTAGGTTGTGTTCGCGGCCTCAGCGATAGCACCAAAAATAAGCAACCCTCCAATGCCGCTGCTAAAAGGGGTACTCATAAAGCTCTTAGTACGTCCAACTACTGCTACAGCGTCAATCGGGTCCCCAGTGATTCCCTCGCTAGGGAGAAACCTCCAAATGGGGAACCCACCAGGGAGAACCATCCGAATGAAGATCCCACTAGGGAAGATCATCCAAGTGAGGTTCCTTCCACCCTCGCAGAACATAACAAAGAAGAGAGTACCCCCTGCTTAAGTGAGACGAGCTCCCCCCAGGAAGGTGTCAACTTGACTGATAAAGCCACCCCACCGGAACAACCAGAGGAAGATACTCAATCAGCAAACGTAATTGAAGAAAGGCCCCCCACGAATAACCCCTCGAATAGGGAAGAAGTGCCCATTTTTAAGAAACTGTTTAGGAGCTACTCAACTTCCATGTGTAGCGTTAAGGAGTGCACTACCAGTAGCAACTCCTTCACTGACATTAACTGCGGATTTGCTGCCATAAGACCGCCGGGTCACCACTGTAGTAGAAATAGCCCCTCCGGTTTCTGCATATTCAACAACATCAGTGTAGCGTCCAAATATATTTTTAAAAAATATGGAATAAGGAAAATATTCATTTTCGACTGGGATGTGCACCATGATAATGGAACGCAAGAAATATTCTACAGCGACGAGGACGTCTTGTGCTTTTCCATTCACAGGTTTGATAAAAAGAAGGATGATAGGAAGAACAAGAAAAGGAAGAAGAGGAAGAAAGGTGAGGGAGCTGTCAACAAAGGCGCTAACTCCTCTGCTGGTGGGGGGACGGCTTACGGCAAAAAGGGGAAGAAGAAAGATAGTTCTGATGATAACGGGAAGAGTAGCAAAGAGGGGAAGGAAGAAATCAACAAAGGTTCGAGTAAAAAGTTTAAGGCGGACACTAAAGGCGCCTCCATATTGGGTCCCATCTTAGGCACCACAGAGGGTGCCATATCAACCAAACTCGACACCAGAAAGACTGCTACTATTTGCAGCGACTCTTCCAACGGAACTCCAAGTAGTGTCCCACACAATGATGACACAAAAATGAAGAAGAAAAAGAAGGAAAAAAAAAAAAGAACCAAAGAAAGAAAGAATCTCAAGACGTATGAAGAAAATCTATTTTATCCACGCACAGGAGCGAAAAACGAATTGGGAAGTAAAAGTGGTTACAAATTCAACATCAATGTGCCCCTCGAAAAAGGCTACAACAATTGCGATGTTTACTACGTATTTAAATATCTACTTCTTCCTATATTGGAAAATTTTCAACCTGAATTTATTTTCATATCATGTGGGTTCGATGCTTCTATTAACGACCCCCTGGGGGAGTGTAACCTCACACACAATTTTTACCAGTGGATGACATTGCAGTTAAAAAATTTCGCCAACATTTTCTGCAAAGGAAGAATTATCCTAGTGTTAGAAGGTGGATACAATTTGAATTACCTTCCCAAGTGCACCCTAGCCTGTATCAAGGCGTTAATTAAAAAGAACAGAAATACAGAGGAGTACTACCCCCATATGCAAAACGGCCAATGGACTGGGAAGCCATCCAATGATGCGGGAATGATAACAAAGGGAGTGGGGTTATCGAGGGGTACCCCTCCTAATGGAGTTCCTGCAATCAAGGAAGCCCTCCCGAAGGATATTCACATTAGTGAACCAAAGGGGGCACCAAGCAAAGACGAGTTAACATCCTCGAACGATTCGGCATTTATCAAGATGCAAAATTGGAGACAAGTAAAGCATGGAAATCTCATTAGTAACAACTACAAAAATGACGATCACGTTAATTTCTACAAGTTCAAATGCTACTCAGATTATTACAAGACATCAAACAGAAATTTCAGACACTTTCCAGGGAAGACATGCACTAGTAACATGACGTCCAAGAAGAAGGAGCTCATCACAAGGGGAAAATTGCACTACTCCACGTACAAAGTAATAAAATACTTTCTGTGCATCCTCAAGGGGGATCCATTCCACCTTAATATTAAACTTCCACCGTATAATTCTTTTTTAAAAAAGAAAGGATTGGAAGATAAACAATTAAGTATTGAAAGGAAAATTACTATATTCAAAAAGGTGGACAGCCGAGCAGATTATCTTCGCTTTGACGGAACTAATTACTCCCATTATGGAGAAGGGCATTATCAGAATAATCTCCACAGGGGGGGATGTGGCACCCCTGACGACGCTCCATATGGTGAAGAAGACGGTGGAATTATGAATTCCTACGTGAAGAAAAAAATAGAGCAGTGGAAAAGATACAACCAAACTTACAAGAGGCAGTACACTATGTCGTCCACCACCATTTCGAACTTATCCCACAGCGATCTTTACATTTCGAACGACGAACTTGATTATAATGTCTCCAGCTCCGAGAGTAGCAGGAGCATCAAAAGAAAAGTTGTCCTACTGAATAAGCTAAAATTGAAAATCAGTAAACATGGAAATATGAGTAGTGCACCCGCCTTGTCTGGACCCTTGCCTAAGATGGAAAAAAGGAACAACCGTCAAAGGAAGGGGCAGACGCAGACGCAAAAGCACACGAAAATGTTCTCCATTCTTAGTGGCGACAACCAAGAAATTGGGGGAATAAAAATATGGGACCTCACCAAAATCCCCGAGGAGGATGACATAATACACGTCAGTGATCACAATAGCAGTGAGAGGCCTGGCCGGGCAGGTGTAACCGGTGGAAACGGAGAGAGGGTAGCTGCCAATTTAAATCTTGCCCAGTGTCCTCCCCACCAGAGTGACCATCACGACAGCCACCTTGGCTTCGATCTAACAAATTTGAAGTACTGCCAAGACCAGCTGCAGAACTCCTTCACCATGTATACCCAGCGAAAGAAAGGATTCATATTCTTTTACGGAAGTGGACACAGAAACCAATGGGTGTTACCTCCAAATAAAAAAATTACGCGCATAATTAAGCTCTGTTCCGACTTAGAAGCCTACTTCTATGCGTGGTTGTATCTATGCTGCGGGAGAGAAATATGTATTTCGGGTACCATGGTGGATTATGCCTCCATTCTCGAAGATGAAGTGACCGTGAAGGGCATCTCTCTAAGTGTTGACTTATCCCAAGAGCAGAAAAAGCAAGCCAAGGAGTTATTGAAGTTTACCGTCCCATGTTACCATTCCTTTTTAAAGAAAACGCAGTTGCGCCAGCTGGGTTACCAGGAAGGGGCTCCCCAAGATGTTGAAATAGTGCACGTGGTGGAGGAACGTCTCGGAAGCAGAGGCACGATCGATGCAACAGAAGATAACAACAATTGGAAGGAACAAACCATAGATGCTCCATTACACGAGAAGGACGAAAACAAAAGCAACAATGATGATAACTCAGAGAACTCGAAAAATAGCGTCGTGACGATAAATTCTGAGGAAAATTATACATGCCAAAATGTCGATCTTAAGAGCGAAAGTAACTCTTTGCTTGAGCAGAACGACAACGAAAACAATGTGATAGAGCAGAAAACAATTGACAGTGTTAGCGACAACCCAAACGTTACAAAAAAGAGTGAACCTCTTTTAAAAAGTGAAAAAAATAAAACTGCCATTTGTTTAGCCAATGTGTTAAGTAAAATGAGACACCCGTGTGTGATGGATGTAAAAATGGGGGTCAGACTATATGGCGATGACTGCGATGAGGATTCTATAAAGAAGAAAATTCAAAAGGCCAAGAGCCGATCCTGCCTATCCCACGGATTCCATTTAACAAGCGTAATAGGTTGGGACAAAAAAAAAGAAGAACCCTTTTTCATATCAAAGGAGGATGCTCATTCTATAAGAAACGATGATGATTTTGTGGATGCATTCATGTCGTACTTCCTAGCATGTGACAATGTATACCTTTCCAAGATGTTGTTAAAGAAACTGCTTCTCGTCCTAGAACACATGGAGGCTTTCTTTGAATCCCAGGAGCTATTTGCCTTCTACGGGACCAGCTTGTTATTTGTTTTTGATTCGGATCCCTCCAAGAATAAGAGCGACGGTGAAGAGAGTGCCGAGGCGGAAGGAAACCCAACTACGGAGCTGACCGAACTAACTAATGTGAAGAACTCCAACTTCGAAGTTGATCCAGAAGGAGAAAGAAGCAACAAAACGGAAAAGGAAGACAAGGAAGATATTTTCGACTTTATGGAACAAATGCAGAGCATTTTTGAAGACTCTCTAACGTCAGAAGAAAGAGACATATACATGCAGACAAAATTAAACTCCAAAATTTTAAAAAGCGCAAACATATACATAATCGATTTTGCCCATGCTAGTTTGAATAGTAATCAAAAAGATGAAGGGTTCCTGCTCGGAATAACATCTCTTCATCGTATCATGAAAAAAACGATTGAAAAGATCCAGAACCTTTATCTTCCTTAGTGCTCATTTTTGGGGCAGACACGAATTATTAACTATGTAAAGCGAATGCTACATCATCTTCTTTAAACCAATCCGATTATCTAATTTGCATGAGGTGTACTTTTATCCGTTCAGGTACATGCATATGAAAAAATTTCCTAAATTTGTGATTTTTTTTTTAGAGTATATAAAAAATGGCCTAAATGTGCTCCGATTGGGCGTTGTACCGTAGGTAGTCCATTCGGCGTGCCCATCGGGTGCACCTACTCGGCATGCTAACCATTTTGTCACCTCCAATGCTCTTTTTGAGGTACCTCATTTTTAATTTACCTCTTATCCGTCCAATTTGTCCCTGCGTCTATGACCTTTTTTTTTAATATATTCGAAACACCAACAACATGTAACCCTAAACTGAAGTTTAATTTTGATGCGATATTGCGCTGGAACTTTATCTAATTTGCGCGGGAAGCTTTTCCGTCCTTGCCCTGAACAATGGTGCGAAGTTTTTCGCCAATTTTGGCGCAATTATTATTCCCCCTTTCTGGTCACTTCCCTTTTCATCGTCCATAGGGTTGATTATGCACATACTTCCTTGCGGAAATTATGCAGGTAGATGCCTTTCATAATTTGATTTTCTAATCACGTTTCTATCCCATTTGAAGGATGGCTTATGTGGTGTGCATTCAACCTTCGCCACCTTTTTGGCACGCATTTTTGTTTATACTGTGGGTATGTTACTTTAACGCCTTTTACGTAACGCCAAGAGGTGATTAGCCCAAGTTTCGGCCACCTTCGTTCATTTCATCCTTTGGTAATTATTATTTTGTTGTTTTTTCTAGTTAGGGGCACTTTGGCTAAACCACAATGATTTCCAAAACAAATGTGTCATTTTTTATGTAGACGAAAAGCGTACGGCACAGCGCAGCACCAGGGGTAAATCAGGGAAGACCAAAAAGGCAGCTGGGTTAATTGAAGTGATTTGTCAATCGCGTCCCCCTTCCCTTTTTCCCTTCTTGTCACATGTCACATTCGCGAATAGGTGGACACAAATGTGTGTTTTGTCGTTAGGCTATTTTGACGCCATTATCTTTCTTTTTTTTTGCTATGTTCCTCCCTATACTTTTTCAAAATATGTCTAGAGACCTCTTGCAGAAAATTTTCATAACCCCAGTTACAGCCATCTTGGTAACATTAAACATATATTCATGCGAGTTGCCATACTTATTACCACAGTTTATCCCCCGATGTGATAGAGGTGCTAAATGGAAGCACCACAAAGGTATGCAACCTTCACTTCATTCAGCGCGACGGAAACTTCTTTTCCACCATTTAGTTGCCTTTTTAATACAAGTTCAGATTAATTCGCCATGTATGAAATTGCTAAAGTAGCTTCGAAGCGGTAAACAACGAGGAAATGTGTTCCCGGAGTGAAGACGTCTTACCAATCATTCATGCATCTTGGCAATGGTAAATTTATTAAGGAACAGAGAAACCAGCTCGCAGGTTAGGGAACCACGGAAATTGATGACATGTGTTTTGCTACATATGGCTAGTCAATTCTGCTGAATTTTTTTTCCACCTTCTTTTGCAGAGAGTACAATTTCTTGGTTAACGTGAAAAAAAAAGAATATACATATACATAGGAGGAATTTAAGCTAATTGGCGAACAAAAATGTAAAATATTTTTATGCAAAATTGCAAAAACAATTGCAGCCGCATTTGTGTTGGCTCTGGTTGCTATTTATTCTGAAGGAAGCATTTTTGTATGGTGTTCTTTTTTTTTTTCCTCCCTGTATGCACTTCAGAAGTATGCCTGCAATAATGCTGATCACGCTCGTATCAATTAAAGTCGGGATCTTCCCCATCCGTGCGCATATAAAAACATATGCACGTGAAGGTTGCCTTTAAGTAAGAGCAGGCAGTAATTACATCTCCATGGAAAAATGCCCCCCATGAATGAATTGGAATGCTTTATAGAGGAAAGGCAGGCATGAGGTTGCGAATCCGTTAAATTTACAAACGCCCATATATATAAGCATGTATACAAGGTATGGTCCCTTCGTAAGCGTAAGCTACAACCGCGCAACCCTTCGCGGAAATAAAAACGCGAGTTACGAATCAAGAAAAGCCAAATTTACGCCCACAGTTTGCTGCTTCCTTTTTATATGAACGTAACGCTTGCGATTTTATTTGGTTAATCAATCTTGTGTTTTTTTTTGAACGCATTTTACAAACGATTTTACTTTCGCTTTGGCTCTTATTTTACTTTTGCTTTTTTTTTTTTTTAACGTAAAAATCTCTTATGTCATTTGATTTCCCTTTTTATTTTAAGTATACTACTTTTTAACCCTTATCAATTTAACCGTTTTTTTGTTCCCAATTTATGAGGCGTATATATGTACTACGTTTATGTAATGCCATACTTGTATAATGCTATCCGAGTACATGCTACGTATATATATGCTACGCGGATGTTCGGCGCCGAATCATATGTCACATTCATGCTTTACCTGTAACTTGGCACATACGTTGCAATTGTATTGACCAGTTGTACTTCCGTGTCGCACTTGCGGTCCCACTTCCAAGCAACCTCCTCGCGAGCACATCCCCCCAACACTATTATAGTATACTTTCCCATCGCGTATTTAATATAAATACGAGGGGACTTGCGCTTCACCATATGGCATATAATTACTGTGGGTGTCATAGTGCATGAATGTATGATTGGAAAATTTTCGTGGCTCCCATCTTGGTACATTTTTAACAATAATGTACACTATGTTGTATACGCGCGCGTGGAATAATGGCAAAAAGGGGAGAATTATTTCTTAAGAGTTTAAAAATGAACGCAATTTTTTATACATTCTTGTGTGTATTTAAAGGATCAATTTGAAATTTTGAATTTCAAACTGTATTAATTCGTATCAATTCGCTTCGTTTTATTCGCTTTTTTTTTTTTCGCGATTAAATGCGGTTCCCAGTTTCATCCGATTTTACAATTGACTTGTTTCAAAAGTGAACGTATGTGCGCCGCGCCATGTGTGGATGCGCATACATACGTATCCTTCTACCATGCACATATGTGAACATATGCACATTGAACATATACACGTCCGTACGTGTGGCACGTGTTTATGCGCTCGTTTGTGACCATGTATGATCGTTAAACGTTTGTATTCAGCTCATTTAGACGATATATACGTTCATGCAGTATACACCCTTTACGCATATGCAAAGAGAATTGTACACATAGAAACACGGACATGTGTAAGAAAACTATTGAGTGAAAAAATAGATTCCCCATGTTTTCCACCCACTTTTTTTTTCACTTATTATTCTGTTCAATTGTGTAAATTTTGGAAATACGCAAATTTGCTGATTTCATGAAAAAGAATTTTTTTATATATATACTGAAGTTGGAAAAAAAAAAAAAAAAAATAGTGACTTTTTTGTTTTAACGCATCTCCATAGTAGCACCCTTCTTGTGAACTCTTTTTATATTTCCCCGTTTTTTTTTTTTTTTTTTTTGCGTTGTGTACATGTGCGTCTATATAACTGAGCCAGAGTTGCATTTTCGCATGTACCTGTGGCTGTTACATTTGGTAGCTTCCCCTTCAGGACTGCGCATGCGTAGTTGTATTTGAATAACGCACACTCTCCGCGAGCTCATTTGAATAGAACACACGCACCGCCATCTCATTCGAATACAGTACATGCATCGGGGTCATCTTTGGCGCGACAACACTCAGAGCAGCTGGTCTGTGCAAGCAGGTATAACTGCTCGCGCCTACGCTCGAATGTAGGCAAACGCGCACGTGCCCTTAGGTATGCGCACGTTTGGGTGTCACGGGGTTCACGTCCGCGACAAGCGGTAGAAGCACAAGAGGTGGCACACGGCGTATTATGCAGAGTGGCGCGAGGACTAACACACAGAGTAACACGCGGAGCAACTCGCAAAGCACCTCGTCAACGCGCATGCAAAACTTGTCGACTTGCACCAACCTACGTCACTCCGTCCCGTGTTATGCACATTTATAATGGATAGGGTAAGAACTAATGGAAGGAGAAACAACGATGTGATGAACGCACTGAGGGATGGGAACATAAAAAATGAAAATCTAGACGAACATCAATTCTGGACCAACATCGACAATCAGTACTTCTCCAATTTCGACAAGAGGTTAATTTCTGCCTTTGAGGACCACATAAAATGCACAGATTACATATGTAACAAAATAAAAAACAAAAAAATTAATAAAAAAATTTTCCAAAATATTAACTGTTACACGAGTTCAGTCAAAATAAAATTAAATCGAAGTGAAAGAAATAATGATACGCCCAACATTACCGATTACATTTCTCAAAATAAAAATTCTATTTTTAAAAACGAACAAGATGAAAAAGGTAACGAAAATAATCAAGCAGTTATCCCCTTTGTGGATATTGTAAATGATATAAAAAAGGAGGAAAACATTTTGGGCTTTAATCCAAAGAATTATCCATACGACATTGATAAAAAAATTACCAATCATGAAAATGTCATACCATGTGAACCAAGAAAAAGCATTATCGAATTTATGCCTCTGGCGAGAAATGAATTCTTATTGAATACTTTGCATCATCAAAACCTGAGGAATGCGCATCCTGGTGCTTTCCCCTTCATTATGGGCAGAAATTTCAGCCATATTCAGTCGACTAATCTGAGGGAAAACAATTTCTTCATGAGAGCTCTCCCCATGCCGGGTCATCCGACGCTCGCAAATGGCAACATGTTTGACATTCAACAGAATTTCAGAAATGGTCATCAGTATAATGTAGACCATCTGGGCTACGTCGTTTCCTCCCCCTTAGGTGCGACTCACCATGTGAGCGTAAGGAATGCGAACACCCCCTTTGTGAATATAGTCAATAGCAGTGTTAGTCATGGCGTGAACAGCAATGGCAGTGGCCACATGTCCAATTACGCCCAGTTTAAAAATACCTCCAGGGAATCAGGTGTGATGTCAGAATTTAAGATGGGGAAGGGGCCGGGGGAAGTAAATGCTGGCTCGACTGCAAGCAGCACATCTCCAGTTACAAATTTCGTGTCGACAATTAACGATCGGAAAGTTTGCAAACTAGCAGACGACGCGAATAACGGTGCAGAAAATAATGCGCACCATAATAACACAAACGCGTGTGTCAATCCAGGAATTGGCAGCGCAAATGCGATTCTTCTCCCGAACGGCAAAAATGACTCGAACAATTTAATGAGTAACACATTCAGCCGATCAGACAAGCCAAGCTTTCCTAACAGCAATGTCCTCCACTCATTTAACGCAGAAAATACCAACACGGGAAGTAACAGCGAACTAGCTAACCACAACCACGCGAAGGGCTGTAATTTATCTAACCCTAGCATGGGGAAGCATTTGGGCGACAATTTGACCCGTGCCAATTTTGACCCGACCAAAACACGGGGCGACAGTGGCGGGAGGAACCATCTCGACAATCCAAACGGCCAGAAGCGCCTCGAAAATTTCAACAGCATGAATAAGTTTCAAAACTTTGATACCTTCCCCAACAACTATCCATTCTTTAATAACTGCTTTGGTAACAACGACAAGTTTCACAAAATGAACGGTGTGGCTGAGGGCGTTGGAACGAGCATGAGCGTGAACACGCCCATTCAAAACAACAACTTTTTGCTGATGAATAGCCAATTCGATAACAAGATGAGTGAAGAAATGAACATGTTCCCTTGTTCACTTTCTGATATAACTCGTGGCATGGTTAATCCTTCGAACAAGGGAGCAGGGCTCAATGGCCCAGGAGACGACAGCTACAGTGGGGGTAACAATGGGGGAAAATATTCCACTAATGTGAGCAACAGTAATCGAAATGGCACCGACAGATTGGGGGCCAGAAATGTTCCCAATTTTGGAAACACGCAAAATAATAACAGCATAGTCAATTTGGAGCATCTCCACATGAACAGTCATATGAACCATGGAATTGATGAACACCCCCTGATGTTCTTTGACAAACACGGAAACAATAAATTCCCGACGCAGAATTATCCCCCGTCGAATAGCCAACTCAATTTAAACAGTCAAATGGGTTCTTACAAGAATGACGTCCTGTATGGTAAACAGTTTATGGTCCCCTCCCACCCAATGTATGCTAAAGGGTTTTACCATCAAGCCGATTTGATGAATTACGAAAATGTGATGATGCTACATACGGGTGAAGGTCACATCAGCTATCCATACGACCAATCACTTAAATATAAAGATGCAAAATTTTCGTCCAAAAAGGACAGTGAAACGAAGTTGAAAAAATATATCGAAAACGATGAATATTCCAAGTCGCATATGGAAAAGGGGACGTCTACCTCCAGACCCAGTAGAACGAGCAAGCAGGACACCAATTTCTTTAACCCCTTTCTGAATAAGAAATACGATGGAGTTGGTAGGCTGCCCTACATTCAGAACAAACCAGTGCCCAACGGACTCCACATCGCGATTTATATTCCGAAGAATTACGAATTTAGCGAAAAAATCGACGCGGACGGTGAGAATCACGGAGTTGCAGAAAAGAACAACGGTGGGGACAAGGCCTTTGTGAAGCGAAATAGCGGTGTGCATGGAATCGCCGGTAACGAAGAACAGCCTGCTAAGGAGCAAGAGGACCTCTACGAGAAGGAAGCGCTAGCTAAATTGCTTACCGAAATTACTTTTGGCGATAGAAGAAACATACTGAACCCAAAAATGTCGGTGCAGGATAAAGAAAGATGTTACAACAGCATTTTGGACGAATTGAAGAATTATGCCTCCTTGCCAATTATCATGGGCAATATTTTGCCTTACTGGGAACGGCAAAAAAGTAAAAATTTACTTTATAAGGTAAAAAATTTCAAGCTCACCAATGCGAAGTCCAAGTACATTCACATTAAGAATGTCAATAAGAAGATAGCATGCAGGAGAATTAGGAAGAGGAAAAAATGCATATCAGTACATAATAACCCCAGTGCAAAATTGAAAAAGAAGAAAAAAAAAAAAAAAAAAAGAACATTACAGATGCTGCCTCTCTAAAGATGACACTAAAGGAACAGGCAAATGATCTGGACAAAATCGAAGTGGAAGTTGTGAACAAAAGTTTGGACCACTTAGAGAAGGAAAAATGCAAGTTTGATAACAACACCAACAGCTTAGCACTCACCGATGCCGAGTTACAAAAGGTGCACAACGAAAATAAGGATGAGGAATTTGCAAATAATGTGGATAGCAGCGAACCAAAGGAGGAGTCCAGTAAATCGGAGCAGGCGCAGATAGAACACTCGGGCAGCGATGTCAGGGAGGAGGACGACGAAGAAGAGAAGCAGCTTCCCGTCAGTGAGCAGGCTGTGGAACAGAACACAGATTCCGCTACCCAATGGGAGCCTCATTCACTACCAGAACTGGGAAACGTAGGAGATGTAACGGGTGAGATAAAGCAGTCATATATACAAAGTGAAGAAATAGAAGTGGGGAAAACAATCCTTCTAAATGAGACTAATAAGGATAAGCATGGCCATGCGGTTAATAGCCAAATGGAAGAGTCGTTAAAGATTTTCCCCCTTAGCAATATGAGCGAGAGCAAGGAATCGCAGGAGCTGTTTCCCAATGAGGAAGGAGCCTCCTGTCCATTGAGCAATGAAGTAGACCATGGAGCGACTAACCACGAAGACCTTCCATGGAGTAACACAATCGGGGGTCAGAATATGAACTCTAAAGGAGCCCAAAATAAAAAACACCAATGTGTTTACCGTGAAGGTCAGAGGAAATTCCCCCATAGGAAAAAGTTACTACTGAAGAAGCGAAACAAGTACTACAATTTTCAGTTTCTGAGGAAGTTCAAATTCTCCATTCCGAATAATGCCACGGTGCCGTTTAATAGTTCCATGTTTTCGCTGCAAAGAAATCAATACAAGTCCAACATTTACTACGAGTTCATATTAACAAATATAAATCTGGACAAATATCGAAAGAACCTTCTGAATGTAAACTACAACAACAGCAATTCTGTCACGAAGAAGGTACGTGCTTATTGTATAAATTTTAACAAATTAAAAAATCGGAAGAAGAAACTAGTCAGGAGGAGTACCTCAGGGCTAGGCGAAATGAAGCCGAGCATTTCTTCCTCGGCCTCTGATTTGAAACGAAATTATAAGAACGACCAGGATAGAGCTGTAGGGTACATCTCGAGTGATAACAACGCTCCACTTGGTCAGCTGCATAATGGGGATGCTTCAGAATTCGCACTGGAAGCAGGCAACAACGACGCAGGAATTCTCTTGCCGGGGGCTAGCAGCGCAAGCGCAGTCGTTAACTACACCGATGAGAAGAACGTAAGAAACGCGAATGACTTAATCGACGCGAAAAGTGCGAATGATGCAAAAAACATGAAAAACATTAATAAGGAAATATGCGTGCTCTTTTCCCGATATGTGCACAACATAAAGGAGCAGAGGAAAATTCTGACAAAACTCCTACATAGTATAAAGAACGAAAAGAAGAAGCCCTACAAGTACTGGTACTCCATCGAGGACAAAATGATCAACTTCTATATCAATGAGTATTTAAAAAATAAACTAAACACGAAACATACGTACACGCTGTCCAAGCAGATTGTCGATTTGCTAAAGTTAAGATTATTAATTAGTCACAGCTCACAGCTACCAAATAACTGGACTGAAAAGGCCCTATGCAACATTTGCAGTTTGGGAGAGGATTGGGAAGATAACCCCATAGTTTTCTGCGACTGTTGTTACACGCCCATGCACTCATTTTGCACTGGCTCCAGGAATATTAAAAGTTATAACATTGTTAGGAGAAGCTCACAGAATTCGGAGAAGAACGAATCGGAAGGGCCAACGGGTAAGCAGTACCAACCCGTTTGGGCTGCCAACAGTGCGAGTAAGAAAAACGAACCCAAAAAGGTTAAGCTGAACATAATGAAGTCGCTTCTCTCGGATTGTTACATCAATTTTAATTCACCCATTAGTATCTTTACTACCACTAGATGTGGCGAAGTAGGGGCAGAGACTGAAAATGGTCATGGTGAAGAGGAAGGTGAGAATGACAAAAATGAGGTTAGCCACGATGTCGAAATGAAAACCCCTTCGTACAGCGACCAACAGGGGAACGGACTCAAAGTGGAGGTTGCAAGCCAGCCATCTCGCGAAGCAATGAACGGGGGCGAGGACCCCTACGGAGAAGCGAATAAGAATTCGAACTCAACATTCGCAGGGGAAGGTAGCACCAATGTGAAAATCGAAAAAATGGATTCGCTGAAAAATGAAGAGCAGGACGAGGAACCCATTTTGAAGGATCTTCTAGAGAGTAGTAACACCAAAAATGAGTTGCAAAATGAGCAGAGCAACATTTTGGAAACGGGAGGGATAATCAACACCCTCCAAGCCTACATTACGAACGACACAAATCCTCCAGCCACAAGTGGAAGTGGCCAAAATAATGCCAACCATGGGAGTGCAAAAAATCCGGAGGACGAACAGTGGATCTGTCCATTATGCTCCTACCTAAGGAATCAAATTTTGTTCATCGAAGATTCCACCGCTTTTAAAATTATCAGAAATTTAAGTGGTCCGAGGAAAAGGAAAGAAATTGAATACTTTTCCAGATGTTCTGATGAATTTGGTAACTCCTCCTTAGATATAAAAAACGAATTGAAGGAATACACCCCCCCGGAGGAAATCACCATAGATTGGAACCACCCCATCAGTGCTATTTATAAGCATAAATCAATTTTTCTGCTCTTCGATATCGATAGGGATCTTTCCCATTACAAGGAGAAATACAACGTAGAAATTAAGGACTCTCATGACTTTTTCGAGAACGTCGTTTTGAAGAACACCCATTTGTATAAGTACAAAATATTTTTCAATTGCATTATTGTGAATAAGACCGTTATCCAGGGAGAGGGGAGAGGAGAAGGTAACCCTAGTAGTAGTGGCAGCACTGGTCACGTGATTGGCTATGACCAGGTGATGCACACCTCCCAGGTGAACGCACTAAACCCTGAACATCTTAAAATGTTCCGACAGGAACCGTTCTTTATAAACGAAAACTTAGACGATAATGACCCAGATGATTCAAAGGAAAATGAAAAAGAAAAGGACCAAAAGGGAGATAGGAGGAGGAAGGATAGAAATTCTCACCACAGTAGAATATCGAAGCGAGAATTAAAGGCGAAAAATAGAGTACGAGACAGAAAGGGGAATACCAACAAGAGGAGTGGCACCACGAATGATGTTAATACAAATGGGGTTGTTAGAAAGAGGGGGAGACCCCTGGGCAGCACAAAACTGAACAAAATGAAGTTACTTAGTATGAATAATAAGAGCAACAGTAAACATGAGGACAACAATTTGGAAGCCACGTGTAACAGTTTGAGCCTTAATAATGGGCTCCTGAGCAGCCCCAGCCGTAACCTGAATGTGTACCCTTTCGATTATAGTACCCATGTTAAGAGCGAAAAAGACTGTGACGCAAATCAGTATGTTTATCAGAATAGCAGCCAAGCAATGAACAAGTCGGAGTTCCGTTACCCAGAGGATACCAACGACGTTGATAAAAAAATGGGTCTTAAAGAGAAAACACTTATTGCACAAAAGTATTTTAGTGAAAACAATGCCGATTTGTCCCACTTTATCAACCGGAATTTCCCGTTTTATGAGAACGACTCGTATGACAATAACCTCTTGTTGAAGTATAACTACAACAAGAACTTCTCCTTCATTTTTAAAATTCCCACCTGCTGCATCTGCGAATTTGATTCCTTCTACTTGGGGGGTGGTCCCATCAAGAGGACCAATAAGAAGAACCAATGGTGTCACATTCGTTGCGCACTAATAAGCAATTGCGTAATTAATGACAGAATTGAACTTAGCAGTAGGGAAAGGACCAGGTATAAATGCTCTCTGTGCCTGAGAACCAACAACACGGGAATAATTAAGTGTAACATTGCCGACTGCTATAAGTACTACCACATATCTTGTGCCACTTCCTCCAATAAGTATCTCATCGAATTGAACGAAGCCAACAAGCTAGTTCTGTTTTGCTCCAACCATTCGCAAAGAAAAGCGCCGACAGAAATTTTAAGGAAATATCAAATCCTTCGAGAAAAAGAATTTAATAAAAATAAATTGGAAGACAAAGTAAATATGTCCAAAGTGTTTGACGCATACATTTTGCAGTCCTACCTCAAAATTAGTGACATGAAATTATTCAACTTGTTATCCTTATCATCTCTCTCCATTTTCGACAAATTTGTTTACTTTAACTATGAGAACTATAGCCAGAATTTGCAAACGAATATGGGCATTGTCGACGATTTTAATGATTTGTACCAGGCGTTTGATCAGCACTTGTCCAAGGAGCGCAACGATGTGGTGAGTTGCGTGTCGGACTCAGGCAGGGTGAAAAAGAAAACCATCGTCCCCGAGGTGGAGGCGACCACGGTGGATAATGAACGGACCAGTACGTCGCTTGCAACCGCTGCCTCCTCAACCACTACCTCGCCCGATGCGGATGAGGAGCAGGGAAAGATGTTCCTGGAGCTGGAGGAGAAGAACCGAACGAAGAACACGGCCATCGACCTATTCGACCTGGAAATGATAAACAAAATTAGCGCCATCAAGTGCAACAACATCATAAGCATAAGCAGCTTCAAAAATATCTACAATGAAAACATGCTAGATGAGGATTCCCTCCTTAAATTGCTGACTCATGATTTGTTGTACATGCAAAAGGATTTACAAGAATTGAACGGCGTCATACTGAGCGATAAGTATAAAAAATTAAAGAACTTTGAAAATATTTTATTACTGTATCCTCATTTTAATGATTTCCAATTGAGGAGACTGTCGGAGCTTATCCTGGAGAAGTATCACATCAATATGGCGAATTATCAGGATGACGATTCCTTTTTTTCCTTTTTCCTTCAATTTCTGTCGTTGCTGAATAATAAGAATCTAATGTTGTGCAGTGTGTGCTTATCCAAGTCGAGTTATTCACAGAGGGGGAGGGATGATCGGAAGCTCGGAACCAGGTTCGACACATACGCGCTGGAAGGAGGAAATAGTAACATCACTGAGAATGGCGACCCGGTTAGCGGCACTGGTCGAGGCACAATGGGAGGAAACAGCCTCCACGACAATAGCAACTACACCACCTATGGGTCCAACCTGAGGGAACATCTGGAGAATAAAAAGGAGCGGAGATTGGGCTCCCTGAGCGTACTGAAGAAATGTTCCCTGTGCAATGTGTTCATTTGCTACTTCTGCTGCAACAGAATGAACATCGACATTATTAAGAATTACCTCGACGAGGGGGTGAAATGTAAGCTGCCCAGCCACCCAGTTGTGAAAGCAAGGGAACGTGTTAGAAACCCGACGCGCTCCAGCAAAGTCGGAAGACCAAGCAAGAACAGGCACAAACCGCACACGGATGGCACGACAAATTATAACGACAACGTGGAGGCAACGGATGCGAATAGTGAAAATAAACTGGAAGAATCGGTTATTGTCATTGACACGGATAAATTGGCCATTGATCCATCGGAGGGACCCCAATATGGGGAGAAACGAAATGGAAGTAGAAATGGTTCCATCGATATAGGTGTTGACGTGGATCCTGTTGGTGCCGACGTGGTTGCCGTAGATGCTGTTGGCACGGATTCTATTAATGCCCACGCGCCCGGAGCTGATGCTGTTGGTGCTGACGCGGTTGCTGTTCCCGTGGAAGGCGATGCCCCGAGTGTCATCGAGGAGGAGGTTACACACAATGGGGACGAACCCCAGGAGAAGAGAAAAACAAATGATACGAAGATTGCGGACCAATGCTTATCGTCAAATATTGAACAGACAAAAGAACACACCCATGATGTAGCCAAAAGGAACCACAGCGATGACGAGTTTGTATGCCCGAGATGCCAATATTTTCAAGTAAAAAGAAGAATAGCCTTCTGCACGTACTGCCCCAGATTAGATGGATTCTTAAACTGCTTTGAAGATAAGGCCAAAAAGGAACTACTATTTGTTCACCCCAAATGCTTAGAATATGTAAATACAGCCTATTCCAAAAAGAACAACATGAACGAAACGAAATCGGGCGCAATTAAAAAGGTTTGCAGTTACTGCAGAATTAAGCATGGAATAGTTATCACGTGCAGCAACACAGACTGCGATGTGTCATTTCATATTTCTTGTGGAATTCTGTTAGGGTGCAAAATGGACAACTTCTTTGGTCGCGTTGATATTTACAATCCTAAGAAGTCCTATTGTTTTAAGCACACCTTCCAGTCATGTAAAAAAAACACACTAGCAAATTTTATCAACACAAATAAGCTCTTCTTCTTTGAGAATTTTCTCGACTATCCCTTCAATCATTTGTACAATTTCATAATGGGCACCTACATTTTTAAGCAACTAAATAAAAACTGCGTTAACCATTTGATGAAGCCAATCAAGATAGAGGAGAATCCGTGCATCAGTAGCATTTTCGAGAGGACGCAACTGAACGTTTTGAGGAAAGCTACCCATCTCTTGTCGAATGATATTAAAAGAAGCCACAAGAAGAAAACGGTTCTTGATCACCACCTCGATGAGGAGAAAATTGCGGCGGGTATCTTCCAGAATGAGGACAACACAAGTGGTAATCAGGGCAACAGCGAAACCTTTTTTCACAAAGATTTGAAGTTCCTAATTGAACACCACTCTAGAACCCCATCGCATGCAAAGAAGAACATCGAGGCAGAGGATCCACTACATGGAGAAAACCACATTTCTGACCTCCTCATGGGAAGAAAAGGAGCAACAGATAGTAGCAACTTACCACAAGATAAACGTAACGCATTGCAGATAAAATCAGATGTTGGAAAAAATCTTTTTGCTAGCTCAAGTAACAATGGAGGATTGAAAAACGACCCCTCATTTGTTGACGACAATGTAACAGAAAGCGCAGTCTCAGTGCTGTCCGAAAATGAAACAGAAGAACTTCGGTCATTTCAAAATGTTTCCTTTTTTAACTCCAGGGCATGTTCCCACATTAGCAACATAGTGAACAATAGCTTTATTAATCAAGTGAAAAAATTCCCACCCAACCAGAACATGATGATGCCCTATTACAATGGTGCCAACATAATCCCCAATAACACCTATCCCTTTTTCGATGCCAAATGTGAGGACATGGAAAATGCGCAGCAGTTGGCGAATCTTGCATGTGCAACAAGCAATCCAGAAAGGGTTCCGCGAAAACGTGATAAGTATAGGAAATTAGAACGAAAGAGAAAGAAATATCTGCTGAAGCCGAATGAGGAAGTGCCAGACAACCATCTTCTGAATGATGCCAGTTCGTTGAGTGTCAACCTCGACATAAATAGCAAAGCGGATGGAAGAAAAAGAAGGAAGTATCGGAAAAATAAAAACGGAAACAATGAGGAGAATTCTGAAAAACCCAATATTAGCAGCAACATGTTAAGTGCGCCCAGTGAGCTAATAAACCTAACACAGATAAGCAGCAACCGTACGCAGAACCCAAGTGCTGCTTCCCAGTTTGATGTCAGTATGAACAGCACGACATACCATCTGAACGAGCTTATCGTCAGTAAGGACAAACATTCCGTGGAAAAGGCAAAAGGTACCAAAAACGAACTCGTGAAAATGAACCAAAATGAAATAAAGGAAGAAAAACCACAGATACAAGAGGACGAAATGATACGGGAGGAACGAATTTACTGCCCAGTATGCAAATGCTTCTATGAAGAACTGAGTGACGGTTCCCCAGCGGATGGACTAAATTGGATTGGATGTGACAAATGTGAAAGATGGTTTCACTGGATCTGCTGCAACTATTCCATTGAGAATCCCCCCGATATGGAAAATGACTGGTACTGCAGCACCTGCTTGAACAGCTGATGCTTCTCCTCTGCGAGGGGAAAATTCGAATAACACGCAGAGAGTGAATGAAGGGGTGAAGTGAGGTGTGCCCCCCGCAAAGGTTTCTGGTCGTTTGTAGCCCACCCATCGACTTTTATTTATCATATATTTTTTTCCCCTTTTTTTTTAATTTAAAGTTTTCAATTTTTAAGTTTTTGCCGCTCCCTGCGTGCTGCTTTGTGTGTGTGGCCCTTTTTGCATTCCTTTTTTTGCATTCCTTTTTTTGCTTTCCTTTTTTCGCGTGTCATTTTTGCGTACTCCCCTTTTTTCAATTCTGGTTTCTCCCCCAAAGGTCGCCCATTTTTAATTCCATCCCCAATTGGTTTAACATTCGCCTTCGTAAATCTGACCAGCCTTATGAACATATGTCTAAATAGTTATGAAGGGGAGATGAAGAGATACGTGCAGGACTGGTTCGGGTGTGCTCTGCTGTGCGGGCAGGCGTCCATGATAGTGTCTGTGCATTTTTTTTTTTTTCTTTTTTTTAACAAAATGAAACTTGTTTTCCGTTTTCATCTTTCATCCCTGCTTTTGCCTCTGATTTTGATATTCTCCCGAACCGTAGACACACACACCGGTGACCGTGTACGGGTTCCCAATTCGTGTCCACTCGTTTAACTTGTTAGAACAGAACCCCTTTTCGCGTTTATCGAATAAAAGAAATGTGTGTGCATAAGTAATCTGTGTCCTTCTCGTGGGGTACCGCTCATGGGGAGATCACCAATAGGGGAGAAGTGCGTAGACAGCTTCTGCTTCAGGAAGCTGGTAGAGGCATTTTCCCTTCGCCCTATGTTTGCGCACAAAAGGAAGTGTAAATATCATTACGTGGTAATCCCCATAGGGAAAACGCGAAAGACGAGGGAGGGGAAGCCCCCGGGGGATATAACCCAAATAAGTGAAGCCTAAAAGTGTGCTCACTATGACGCAGAGAAGATTTTTCCTAAGAAATCGCAATAAACATGCGCCAAAGAAAAAAAGGACAACCAGTGACTATGAAGTTGTTAAAAATGAAAGTGCCGTTATGACAATTTGAAGGTTTTAAAAATTGCTGCTAATGCAGTATCTGCAATCAAATGTGTTTATATGGTTTTATTTGTTTTTAAAATTGCAACGGGTGAAAAAGTTCCCGATGGAGTAAGCAATTTTTCTCGGCACAGGACGCCTCAATAGGAGTTGAAAAATACCTTGCGTGCCTGTTCGTATGTGAACTCGTTAACAATGTAATCGCTAAGCGACATGGATATGCCGTTTAGCTTCTGGTTGAACAGCTTGGAATTTTTATACTTGTTAAAAGCTCTGGACTCCAAAAAGGTTTCTATCGTTTTGTACTTCCTAATAATGTTGTGCGCCTTCACCGGTCCAATACCCGGTATTTTAGCGCTGTAGTCGCACCCTGAAAGGATGCAAAAATCGATGAACTGTTCGTAGTTTATGTTTAACTCATTTAGCAGTTCATCCTTGTTGATTATATGTCTTTTCTTCTTATTCATAATGAAGCGTATTAAGTTGGGGGCTCCAAATGCCAATGCGTCCGTATCGTCTGACACAACAATGTCTTTTTCGTGCGAGCACTGAATTGCGCATTCTTTCTCTGCATCATTTTTTGTTATAAAGATTGGTATCTTCTCCAGGGACAAATAGTTGTAAATATCGTTCGCCGTTTTGGAGTTAATTTTTATAAAAATATTTTTTTTAAACAAATCGTGAATACCATCTTCGTCTACGACGATTTCCATTTTGCACTTCTTCTGGCTCTTGCCTTGGCTCATGCTGCTGATGGCGCTCCTCTGCTCCCCAATGGGTTTGCTCCCGCTGTTAGGGGGATTCGCACTGTGATTTTGGCTTCCACTTGGGCCTATCTCGCCGCATCCCTCTGTACTGCTTGCACAATGTATACTTGGAGAGTCCCCACTGGGAGAGTTCCCACTTGGTGAATACCCACTCCTTGTTCCCCCCCCCCTGGACGCGTCAACATTCAAAATGTCGAAGAGATTTTTCTTCTTCCTGAGAGAATCTCGCTCTTTCCACACATGCTTCTTACATTTATAATCCAGAGGCTGCAATTCATATCTGGCCCCAATGTCTTCGATAATATAAAGTGTATTAATTTTTAAGGACTTAAAATACTCATGCTGTTTTTTCAGCAACTCGATGCTTTTTTTAATGATGTACTGTCTCACCAGAATGTGTGTCGTCAAGTCATTGGCTTTATATCTCTTCTCACGATTTTTGTCATTAATGATATGCTTCCATGCTACGTACATAAATTTGTAAATAAAGAAGGTGCCATCGATTATAAATTTTTTCCCTGTGAAGCTTCTTATGTCATCTATCTTTTTGATGGTACTCGGGATTTTCTTGTTCACAAATTGGACAAATCCTTTAATGGTCATAATAATATGGCTGCCTCGCCGTTCAAGCTCGGAAGAGTGTGGTGGGGCGGTAATGGTGTGTGTCCCTGCGCGTTGGCGGATCTGCGTTCATTTATTCTCCCCAGTTAGGGTGTCTCAAAATAGGAACAGTTCTCTGGGAGGACCCCAACGTCGTGAAATCGTCCCGTCTGTTCTTAAAACTAACCCTTTTGTGGTGAATTACCATTCAACACTACACACACGTACGCAGTCTTGAGCAAGCAGGTTAGATGCCCCTCTCCCAACGATTTCGCCCTTCTTGTTCGTGATTGTTCCTTTTTTCCTGCCCTTCAATGTACTCTCCGTAGAAGCATCCTTCCCTTACCGTACAGGAGGAACAATCACTCAACGTCAACTTTGAAAATTTTTATTTCGATTTTTACAAAATGACCAGTCTATTGCTCTAGTACCATATAGTGAAACATGAGGGGGAAATAATACCTGGCTCATTTAGAGGCGGTAAAATTGTGCTCTCCTTCTGGTGTGCATAAGGTAAATAGAAAAAACTCCCTTGCTTCAATTCTTTCCCTTGACTTGCTCAAGATCCTAGGGGGGAGGTAAAACTAGGCGCCTTTACATTGGCTCATAGGAACGAAAATACACTCCCCCTTAGTAATGCATATCTACTCAGAACTCCCTCCTGCGTGTCAAGAGAAGGGGGGAAATCGCTCAACAGGTGGTATACATACGAGTATATAGTACATATTACTGGCTTGCCACACTTACAAAATGGTAGATTACGCGCAGAAGGGTAAAGCGAGGCGATGGGGGCAACTCTTGGGGACCTGACCAACGCTTCTAAAATGACACTTGGGTAAATAGCGCTAGCTGCCATTTAGCGAAGCAGTAAAGAATGAGAGGGAAAAAGCAGGAAAAAAATGCCCCTTTGGTGATGCACCTAGAAACTTGCCATATCCAAGTCCCTCAAGGGGGTACACATGTATGGAAGTATGAATATACATGTATTTATATGCACGTTTTTTTTTCCCTCCCCCTTTTTTTGCAACTGTAAATAAGGTGTAGCCACAACCCCACGGGAGTACCACTTTTTGCATTTTACCCTAATGAGAGGTATGCCCCAATGTGCACTTAACAAATTCTTCTGCTTGTTCGCTGTGTGATTGTACTCCACGTGGCAGCTCGCATTATTCCTTCTCTGAGGAATTTTTCCTTTTCCTTATCCCCCTTTATGATCCCCCAATGGTGTATGGAATAATAATCCACTCGTCTGAATGTCACGAGAAATACTATTTCAGCTATTACTACGGGGAGGAGAAATCTGAGGAGGAGGAGCAGAAGGAGCAGAAAGAAGAAGACGACTGCATTAGACAACGGGTATGAAGCTAGAACAAAGTCCTACCAGTTGAAACCCTCCGAAAGTCACAATTTCGATACACACAAATATCTGCCAAATTGCACAAACACCCTTTTATTTTAGACCATTATTAAAAGAGTCCTTGAAGAAATAACTTACTATGAAAATGAAAAAGTGAAAACTGATAATACGGTGAGGAATCACACGGAGAAGTATTTGGATTTGCTGGGGGCGTTCCTGTCAAAGTAGGAAAGATAGGAAGTTCGAAAAATGAAGCCCTGTAAAAGTGCAAGAAATGGACGTCCTCATGCGACCACGTGTTGCACACCTTTGCTTCCCTGTAGGAATAACAATGACGAAGGAAAAATAAATGGTGAGGGTTTCCTCCGAATTGTGGATCCTTCCCTTTTCAAAAATAGGATTAATGTTCTGTGGAAAGTTTTGAACAAGTACGTCGTCGAAATGGCTTGTCATTTGAAGGGGGGTATGTCATCCCCTATGCGGAGCAGCCACTCCCTAGTCAAAGTCGCTTAATCTCTCCACCCCCTTAACAGAATTTGCTACACCCTGGTATTCTATGCCCACGAAAATATTCACCTGGTTAGAAGATAAAAACCCTCAAAACAAAATTGCCTTCCTCTATGTAGTGCAAAAATGCGGAACACTTTTATTTCCCACGCAGGCGGACTACTTCTTGCACACATTTATAAGCGCCCTGAGGGAGCAGCACGACGCACTGAAGAGAAAAAAATGCAAGACTGACATGGTTATATAATTTACACCAGGCTCGTACACTGTTATTTTCGATTCTACGCAACTGCAAACGTTTCCGTGTTTCCCCTTCCGTCTGAGAGGACAACACTTAAAAACTGCCACCTTGACAACTACCTTTGTTTCTATTTTTACTCGATGCCGGTGAAAAAACTGTTGAATTCCCCCTCCCTCCGCAGGACCGTTTTCACCCCGATACTGTGCTGGCCGTTCTGTACTTCTTCCTACCAAGTTATAAAGAAGGCATTAGCACCTTATCCCCGATGGTGCATATCTTAAAACGGCACCTGTTTTAAATCTAAAGGCACACGAAACGGACCCCTTCGTGCAGCCACATTTTAAAAATACACTCATATACGCATATCCCCCCTCCTCTCCCTCATTCCAAATACTTTTATGTGCAGAAGGGCAACTTCTCCTGATGAATGAGAACCATGCAAAATTTCTGAACAGCCAAGTTAAGCAGTTCCTCGCGCATAAGG